GACCACGTTGCACGCCATTCTCTCATGACATTATTACCAAAGCAATGGCTACTTGATTTGGTTGGTTAAGTTTGTTTTTTTTTCTTTACCCATACATTGTTACTATAAATCATATAATTGCATTTTAGATTGATATTTTATGTTCAATGTGAAAAGATAAGAGAAATCCAAAAACCGGGTTAGATAGGTGGTACCTACCCACGTGGTTCTCAGTAAGAAACTTGTGTTTATTTGGTTTTACCTAATTGTTTTAAGCAAAATTACATATAATTTGTATATGTAATATTGATTGTGTTGCATTTAGCAACAGGCATTGGCTCGGGTTGTGGCTAACACTAAAGTTAAAAAAAGTTTGTTTCAATCTGTGTGGTGTAAACAGGAAGTACATGAAAGACTTCACATACTATGATCAAGTTTTTAATAACTGTACTGTTAATCTGTTTTGAAGTCCAAGACCTAACATTAGTTGATGTTCTGATCAGCAATGTTTTATGTCCACCAATAAATTTAGATATATCCCAATCAATGAGAACAATGATCATTGGTATCTATGCGTTGTTGACATAACTAAACAAAATGTTGTTTTATTGGATCCTCTTCCATGTGCCGATATTGCGATTAGGATGAATGTTGTGCAGAATGTGCTCTTTGAATTAGATGATGTTCTTCAAGTTACGTTGGATAATTGCCAACCTTTTTTTGTCTACATTCACTTTGTCTGTGCCGCCTTAGACCACACGTTAGGGGAATGGATATGATTGTGGCATATTTGTTGTGAAGATGATCCAAGCTCCATTGCTTGGTCCAGGCTTTAGCATTAAGGTGAAGTACTAACAAAAGGCATGTCAATTGTAATTGTATGCGATTTTTATAGACCTCATCACTGCTCATTATGTTTACCACTTGTATCATTTTTCTACAGGAAGATTCTAATGAAATGCTGATGAACTTCACTTTCTCATTAACTATTCACAAAGACAATAAAGTTAGGAACAAACTTACACAGAAGGCCCGAGAATGAGGGAGAGATACAGTGAAATTTAGAAGCATATTAGATGATGTGATTAGATAGGCGGTATGTAGTGCGACCAATCATTACAGTGTCGTTTTGATAGTATAACTAAGTGTTATCAAAGTGTCAAAAAAATGTATATATTGTAATACAATGTTGAATGGTGAATGAAATTTAGACAAGTTATTATGAATAAATACTTTTAATTTTTTGGACACACCAATTATTCAGCCACCCTGTTGTGTGAAAACACATGTTGCATATGCACCATTCTTGTATGGATTGGTTGTTGATTAGATAGGGTACAAAATACTCCATTGCATGATAGCTTTTTGATGAATTGGTGTACAAAATATTGCAGTCTCCACTATATATACTTAATTTTGAAAATTATACATTATGTGTCATGGGGATCTCCGTAACCAATTTATGCACCACTAACTAGAGTAACTCAGTCAAATCTTTGCTCAAACCACTTGTACCATTTCTTGACTAAAGACATAACACCAACAATGCCAATTTAGTCTAATTAACAATCATCAATAATCCACAAACACAGTACAAATGATGCACATTAAGCCATACATACTTGCCATATGTACAACACAATAACCTACCAAATCTTTTACAAAACTATATCAACATAATAACATGTCCATATATGCCTGAGTATAATCAAGAACAAAATGTCCAAACTGATTTTGGACAGCGTCGTTATGCCTTGACCCTTAACAAAACTTGTAACATATATATGATTTTATCTCTCACCATGTTGTCCCCAATGATAACCAAGTTAACAACTACCTCCCTTCGCATGTCCTCAATCTTATCCTGCATTTCACAATGGCGCTTCATTAGATAAACAATGTTATCTAAGGAAGATGAGTAAAGCTTTTCACTAGAATCGACATGAGTTGTATGCTTATTCACCTGGATTCTATAACCTGGCCCCAACTGTGATGCTTGCATCATCTTGACAACGAAAAGTCCACAATCAAAATCATTGCCTTGTTTGGGCGTCCAATATGTTTCAAAAACCTTCCAGCTACACAATTTTTCTTTAAATTCAGGTGCCCTCTGTGCAAGGACACCGTCCAAAACCTCAATCTACAAAACAAATGGCATGTAATTGCACCAAAATCGTGGACACATTCATTTTTTAATAAAAAATCATAAATATCTTACAACTCTATTCGCATTTCTATAGTGAATCGTTTTCCTTTTTAGAGTTGGCAGAGAATTGAATAGTAATGTTTGATTGTTCTCTATATTCACCAACACTAGATACCAATGCGTGCGATTGTCATTCATTGGGATATTTATCTAAATAGAAAGAAACATAGGTGCATTAAATCATGTAAAAGTAATGATATGAACCCTAGATTAACTTAGAAACTATTAAATAATGAAATTTTAACAATGGATACCTTGGTAGTGGTTCTCAAATTAGGGATTATAAGGCAACTAAACTTCTGGTTTTGTGGAGTTCCCTTTGCACCATGGTTGTGGGTGGTGGTACTTGCAATGGCTTGTTGCTATATCACATCAATTGACACACATTAATGTATTTTCCACATGACATGAAATGTTTAATGAAGAATGAAACTCAAAATTACAACAAATAAATAGATGTACTTATAAAGAAGACCGTTATTAAGTAACATTTTCCCGTTTGTGGTGCGATGCACGCACACAAATCAATAACCTAGAACATTTTACACACGATATGTTAATTTGGTGCTTATAACGTCACCACAAAAAATGCAACAAAGGAGGATTCATGAACAATTCCACTTAGTCCTTGTGTCGGGGCTAAGGTCTGTAACACTTCCCAAGTGCCATCACCATGGTCAGCAAATGACACAAGAATCTCACTGAAGATGTACCAAACACATTAATTTTGTGCACATATGCATTGGATAATGAAAACATTAGAAGTTGTTACGCAGAAGATATAGGGTCAAATCTAGTGTCCACAATCACATACTAAGATGACAGTTTGTTGTCAAATATATAATTGTAAATTGCACGCTTAACANAAATCTAGTGTCCACAATCAAATACTAAGATGACAGTTTGTTGTCAAATATATAATTGTAAATTGCACGCTTAACATCAACATCGATATGGGTTACTCGTGGGAACATCACATCTACCATCTAAAAAGTAATTTATATTATAAGGGATTATAATTGTTAGGTAACTAAAAAGCTAGCATTTTAATACACAACCCATTAATACTTACTTCTTTTGATCAGCGTTCATCTAAGTCTTTTGGATCATCCAATTCAACCTACAAGATAAATTTCATAATCAATGTACGAAGGAAATAGTTAGTAAGAGATGTGGTGATGACAATAATTGGCTAATTTACTCACAGTCATGATATTAATTCCCTCTTCATCATTATGTCCCCCATGTCATCTGGCACATCCTTCTCAGTCCCTGAGTTCTCAACAAATTGGGACATGATATGTCTAATCTCACCCCAATCTTTTCTCCATCACAAAAAAAGATATTTTGCATTGTATTGAAAAAGTATCAAACTTTTGTTCCATGCATTCAACAAATAGCTCCAGTCTTGCAATGCTTAACCATAAATCCTACGATNATCAAACTTTTGTTCCATGCATTCAACAAATAGCTCCAGTCTTGCAATGCTTAACCATAAATCCTACGATACAAGTGCCGTTATAATGGATTGGTTGTAATAATTTGACGCTCCAAAAAAAAAAAGCATAGTATATCTCCACATGCCATGGTCTTCTATAAAAGCATTTGGGAAAGATATACAATTAGATGATATATATACATACTTCAGACAATGCTTGCTGGGTGGCAGTGTCAATTGTAGTATCAATTAGCTCTTCGTCAATGNAAAAAAAAAAAAGCATAGTATATCTCCACATGCCATGGTCTTCTATAAAAGCATTTGGGAAATATATACAATTAGATGATATATATACATACTTCAGACAATGCTTGCTGGGTGGCAGTGTCAATTGTAGTATCAATTAGCCCTTCGTCAATGAAGACTGACAATTACATGCATAACATCAAGAATATATGCATGCCCCTCTTGGTGTTACTTCNATACATACTTCAGACAATGCTTGCTGGGTGGCAGTGTCAATTGTAGTATCAATTAGCTCTTCGTCAATGAAGACTGACAATTACATGCATAACATCAAGAATATATGCATGCCCCTCTTGGTGTTACTTGTCCAAGATAAAAGCCTACATAACAAATAAAATCAAGATGAGCTGTTATAACAAATTCTTCTCATTCCATATATACATTAACAAACNCATATTAGATGATGTGATTAGATAGGCGGTATGTAGTGCGACCAATCATTACAGTGTTGTTTTGATAGTATAACTAAGTCTTATCAAAGTGTCAAAAAAATGTATATATTGGAATACAATGTTGAAAGGTGAATGAAATTTAGACAAGTTATTATGAATAAATACTTTTAATTTTTTGGACACACCAACTATTCAGCCACCCTGTTGTGTGAAAACACATGTTGCATATGCACCATTCTTGTATGGATTGGTTGTTGATTAGAGAGGGTACAAAATACTCCATTGCATGATAGCTTTTTGATGAATTGGTGTACAAAATATTGCAGTCTCCACTATATATACTTAATTTTGAAAATTATACATTATGTGTCATGGGGATCTCCGTAACCAATTTATGCACCACTAACTAGAGTAACTCAGTCAAATCTTTGCTCAAACCACTTGTACCATTTCTTGACTAAAGACATAACACCAACAATGCCAATTTAGTCTAATTAACAATCATCAATAATCCACAAACACAGTACAAATGATGCACATTAAGCCATACATACTTGCCATATGTACAACACAATAACCTACCAAATCTTTTACAAAACTATATCAACATAATAACATGTCCATATACGCCTGAGTATAATCAAGAACAAAATGTCCAAACTGATTTTGGACAGCGTCGTTATGCCTTGACCCTTAACAAAACTTGTAACATATATATGATTTTATCTCTCACCATGTTGTCCCCAATGATAACCAAGTTAACAACTACCTCCCTTCGCATGTCCTCAATCTTATCCTGCATTTCACAATGGCGCTTCATTAGATAAACAATGTTATCTAAGGAAGATGAGTAAAGCTTTTCACTAGAATCGACATGAGTTGTATGCTTATTCACCTGGATTCTATAACCTGGCCCCAACTGTGATGCTTGCATCATCTTGACAACGAAAAGTCCACAATCAAAATCATTGCCTTGTTTGGGCGTCCAATATGTTTCAAAAACCTTCCAGCTACACAATTTTTCTTTAAATTCAGGTGCCCTCTGTGCAAGGACACCGTCCAAAACCTCAATCTACAAAACAAATGGCATGTAATTGCACCAAAATCGTGGACACATTCATTTTTTAATAAAAAATCATAAATATCTTACAACTCTATTCGCATTTCTATAGTGAATCGTTTTCCTTTTTAGAGTTGGCAGAGAATTGAATAGTAATGTTTGATTGTTCTCTATATTCACCAACACTAGATACCAATGCGTGCGATTGTCATTCATTGGGATATTTATCTAAATAGAAAGAAACATAGGTGCATTAAATCATGTAAAAGTAATGATATGAACCCTAGATTAACTTAGAAACTATTAAATAATGAAATTTTAACAATGGATACCTTGGTAGTGGTTCTCAAATTAGGGATTATAAGGCAACTAAACTTCTGGTTTTGTGGAGTTCCCTTTGCACCATGGTTGTGGGTTGTGGTACTTGCAATGGCTTGTTGCTATATCACATCAATTGACACACATTAATGTATTTGCCACATGACATGAAATGTTTAATGAAGAATAAAACTCAAAATTACAACAAATAAATAGATGTACTTATAAAGAAGACCGTTATTAAGTAACATTTTCCCGTTTGTGGTGCGATGCACGCACACAAATCAATAACCTAGAACATTTTACACACGATATGTTAATTTGGTGCTTATAACGTCACCACAAAAAATGCAACAAAGGAGGATTCATGAACAATTCCACTTAGTCCTTGTGTCGGGGCTAAGGTCTGTAACACTTCCCAAGTGCCATCACCATGGTCAGCAAATGACACAAGAATCTCACTGAAGATGTACCAAACACATTAATTTTGTGCACATATGCATTGGATAATGAAAACATTAGAAGTTGTTACGCAGAAGATATAGGGTCAAATCTAGTGTCCACAATCACATACTAAGATGACAGTTTGTTGTCAAATATATAATTGTAAATTGCACGCTTAACATCAACATCGATATGGGTTACTCGTGGGAACATCACATCTACCATCTAAAAAGTAATTTATATTATAAGGGATTATAATTGTTAGGTAACTAAAAAGCTAGCATTTTAATACACAACCCATTAATACTTACTTCTTTTGATCAGCGTTCATCTAAGTCTTTTGGATCATCCAATTCAACCTACAAGATAAATTTCATAATCAATGTACGAAGGAAATAGTTAGTAAGAGATGTGGTGATGACAATAATTGGCTAATTTACTCACAGTCATGATATTAATTCCCTCTTCATCATTATGTCCCCCATGTCATCTGGCACATCCTTCTCAGTCCCTGAGTTCTCAACAAATTGGGACATGATATGTCTAATCTCACCCCAATCTTTTCTCCATCACAAAAAAAGATATTTTGCATTGTATTGAAAAAGTATCAAACTTTTGTTCCATGCATTCAACAAATAGCTCCAGTCTTGCAATGCTTAACCATAAATCCTATGATACAAGTGCCGTTATAATGGATTGGTTGTAATAATTTGACGCTCCAAAAAAAAAAAAGCATAGTATATCTCCACATGCCATGGTCTTCTATAAAAGCATTTGGGAAATATATACAATTAGATGATATATATACATACTTCAGACAATGCTTGCTGGGTGGCAGTGTCAATTGTAGTATCAATTAGCCCTTCGTCAATGAAGACTGACAATTACATGCATAACATCAAGAATATATGCATGCCCCTCTTGGTGTTACTTCTCCAAGATAAAAGCCTACATAACAAATAAAATCAAGATGAGCTGTTATAACAAATTCTTCTCATTCCATATATACATTAACAAACATGTTTGTTATAAGTAAATTACCATGAGTAATAATTTGATGCTCCAAAAAAAAAACAAAGCATACTAAATCCTCCACATGCCATGGTTTTCTATAAAAGAATTTGGGAAATATATACAATGAGATGGTATATATACATACTTCAGACAATGTTTGTTGGGTGGCGGTACCAATTGTAGTATCAATTAGCTCTTTGTCAATGAATACCGACAACTACATGCATAACATCAAGAATATATGCACGTGCATCTTAGTGTTACCTGTTCAAGATAAAAAACCAACATAGTAAATAAAATCAAGATGAGCCATTATAACGAATTCTTCTCAATCCATATAGACATTGAAAAACATGTTTGTTATAAGTAAATTAACAGATAACCACCCATTGATCCATGTTCTGAACTTTGAAATTTTTGTATGCCTTCAATGACTCCATCAAATACAAACTTGCACCAACTGGTGTATCATAAAGAAGGCATGTTAACTACAGAATGCAATGCAGAAGTACTTAGCGTAATTCGCATGGTTGGGTGAAGCATACAACCAATAATATATAAAACAACCAAATGTATAAATTTGTCAGACTCATTTGTGATTGCACTTATGCGGTCCACCAAATGTTTCAAAGACACCTCTGGTTGTCCATTAAATATTGACATACAAAGATCAATAATGTTGTCTTTTATTCCAGTTGTCATCTCATTTGTCCCTATCCATGGCAACCTTACTATGTGTGTCACATCTTGGGGGTAAAACTTCACATATATGCCATATATGTTGAATGCACACTTATGGGGATCAAATATTTCAGCCAACCATGCACACAAATCCCTCCTAATATACTTGCAGCGTATGCTAAGCAATCTACCCAAACCAATTGATTTGATGGCTTATTTTTGTGCAGCATTTAATTTTGCAAAAAAATTCACAAGTTTTCTTGGGGAACATCTAGTCGCCACAAAATATTGTNACCCAAACCAATTGATTTGATGGCTTATTTTTGTGCAGCATTTAATTTTGCAAAAAATTTCACAAGTTTTCTTGGGGAACATCTAGTCGCCACAAAATATTGGACATGTAAGGTAATGGAACTATTATTATGGGTGTATGTGAATTGATCAATAACTGAATATTTGTATGCATAATGTTTAACATAACTCAATGTACAAATGTATAACATACTCGTCTAGGTGTCTTACTGTCACCACATGTCTGTTTTCGGCACTGTTGTTTCCCTGCCAATGCCTCAGTATTCGTTTGTTTCCTCTTCACTCTGTTAAAATTTGTTTTCATTTAATGTAAACTAAGAACCAATAACATAACAAAAATATGTAAGACCAATCAAATTTCGTTACATTGTTGTTGCTTAAGATGTAAATAGTCTCATCCACAATAAGCCTTCAAAAATGAATCAGTGGTACCTACAAATATTGTGTAACATTACATAACATGCAAGAGATATGTTAATTGTCCGTGTAAATCTTCAATTCACACCATTAATTGACTCTAGATTCCATGTACAATATGAAGATTTGAAAGTGGAGTTCCATAGTTACATATAGGATTTTTGAATATGGCAGTGCACAACAACTCAGGCAAGAACTTGCAACCATTGACCATTATAATCTGTGACAAGCATATCAATGTATAGTGTTAGTTAGATTAGTTTATATTAGGTATTGAACCAATAGGTATGTTATCCATCAAATTGTGACCAATGAGTTTGGTATGAGGGGGAATACCAAATATCATTCGGTAATTCACATAGTAATTCACACAGTTGTAGTGAAACATATGTAATCTGGGAAAAGTCAACACTCTTCCTTACAGTTTGACTGAAGAAAGAAGCTACAAAATTGATGCTTCTACCAAGAAAACCACATTATTCTCCATCTCGTACAAGATTAAAAAAANGGACATGTAAGGTAATGGAACTATTATTATGGGTGTATGTGAATTGATCAATAACTGAATATTTGTATGCATAATGTTTAACATAACTCAATGTACAAATGTATAACATACTCGTCTAGGTGTCTTACTGTCACCACATGTCTGTTTTCGGCACTGTTGTTTCCCTGCCAATGCCTCAGTATTCGTTTGTTTCCTCTTCACTCTGTTAAAATTTGTTTTCATTTAATGTAAACTAAGAACCAATAACATAACNAATATTTGTATGCATAATGTTTAACATAACTCAATGTACAAATGTATAACATACTCGTCTAGGTGTCTTATTGTCACCACATGTCTGTTTTCGGCACTGTTGTTTCCCTGCCAAGGCCTCAGTATTCGTTTGTTTCCTCTTCACTCTGTTAAAATTTGTTTTCATTTAATGTAAACTAAGAACCAATAACATAACAAAAATATGTAAGACCAATCAAATTTCGTTACATTGTTGTTGCTTAAGATGTAAATAGTCTCATCCACAATAAGCCTTCAAAAATGAATCAGTGGTACCTACAAATATTGTGTAACATTACATAACATGCAAGAGATATGTTAATTGTCCGTGTAAATCTTCAATTCACACCATTAATTGACTCTAGGTTCCATGTACAATATGAAGATTTGAAAGTGGAGTTCCATAGTTACATATAGGATTTTTGAATATGGCAGTGCACAACAACTCAGGCAAGAACTTGCAACCATTGACCATTATAATCTGTGACAAGCATATCAATGTATAGTGTTAGTTAGATTAGTTTATATTAGGTATTGAACCAATAGGTATGTTATCCATCAAATTGTGACCAATGAGTTTGGTATGAGGGGGAATACCAAATATCATTCGGTAATTCACATAGTAATTCACACAGTTGTAGTGAAAAATATGTAATCTGGGAAAAGTCAACACTCTTCCTTACAGTTTGACTGAAGAAAGAAGCTACAAAATTGATGCTTCTTCCAAGAAAACCACATTATTCTCCATCTCGTACAAGATTAAAAAACACATCCACCAGAAAGCAACCTATAATGGTTATCAGTGTCACCATTCACTTATTGAAAATGGTAGTCTTTTAGATTGATATTGTATTTGATGTTGGTTAAAGAGAAACGTCTGTTAGGTCTCAGTCTCAAAGACACACTTTAAATTCAGAGCTCGTGGATTACCCAAAAAAACATATACGAACCCAAATGAGGATAGAACAACCCATCTTGCATCTGGGTTGGTGTGTCAGACTACACGTTAAAAATTTGAGTTCTCCACCAAGACTCCACTTAATCTTGCATATTCATATTAAAAGACAGCAGCACAAAGAGCAAATTGAGAGAGATGG